ACAGGAATTATATATCCTGACAGACAACAGCTTTTCACTCTCCATTAGTATTTACTGAGTACTCCTCTGGTGAAAGTGGAAGGCAATTTGATATAACAAGATTCATTTCCAAGATACTCATTTTAAAAATCCACTCAAAGTGTGGGTAAAATTTATGCATGAAAATATTTAGTGAAACGAACATATTACAAGCAGTCTTATTTTTTTAAAGGTTTATTTTTATTTATTTTTTTTTTTATGGTTTCTTGGAATATTTTTATTTATTCTTATAAGAACTGGGGTGTGGGCCAGAGGTGCAGGGGGTTGAGAGGATTCACCAGAGTGGAGAGCAGAACAGGTGGAATGACTGAGGTACACTGCTGAGGGGTGCAGCGGGCGAGACAGGAGAGGTCTGCTGCACCACATGGGTCAGCTCCCTGTCTAGGAATAGGATATGGAAATAGAATCAAATTCATGAACTCATGCTGCTGTGGCTGGTGATAGCTTGATAGTGCTAAGACTTTAACTCTTGCATTACCAGGGAGGCTACCAACAAGCAATCTAATTCCCAAAAGTAATAAAATAGTTAAGTCATGAGGTGGTGTTCTTACACTAAGTCAGAAAAAGGGATACAGAATTATATAGTCAGTACAGCCATATGAATTTAAAAATTATTGTTATAAAAATTATATATACCCATATATGTACTCAACACTAAATGTACTTTTTAATACTGATTTATTTACATTTTACATCACTGTTCATTTTTAAACAATGCTTGCTTTCTTTTCTCAGGTACAGTCCACAGAGAATTCCCACCACCAGTTCACCTGTGCACTGTCACCACAGTCGCCAGTGTACTCCCCTCCCTCCTTCTGATCCCTCTCCCTCCCTGTCCCCTACAGAATGGTTTATTTTTGTTTTGTTGTCAACACTAAATATATTGACATGATGTCCTGAGTTATATAGTTATGAAGTTTTTCATAGTTACAACACAGTTCTTTGTGTTTTCCAAATATTCAACTATGAGCATGTGTTCTTTTGATAACCAGAATATAAAACTGCAAAGTAGTAAAATATGGTTATCTCTAGGTAGAAGAATTACCAGTTAACTTATATTTTTATATTTTCTTGAATTTTCTAAATGTATTTCTAGTTATATGCAAGTGTTATTATTATTTTAAAGCAAGATATACATGTAAAGGGAACTATAGCATCAGTCTCACTCTTCTTATGAGAAGAACTAGGCAGCAGTTAAGCAGATAAGTGGACATAACCTATAAATTCTTTGTTTCACCTGACAATAGGCTCTTTTCTCCTTCTCAAAAATTCTAAGTATGTCACCTCTAATCACACCTTCTTTCACTACTCTTTTATCCAAATGTAACCACTGTTAGCCTCAGAGGAACTATATAGCAATGATGTCACTTAGAACAAAGAACAAGGAGAAATGCTATACTTTTAAATTACACTTTCAATTATTGAAAAAAAGTCTGTAAAAAAAAAAGAGGGAAAAAGGCAGTTCAGAGTGAAATTGCATGCTTCGCTGATGATGCTAAGATGACTTCTGGGGATATCTTCAAGGATTCCTTAAAGATTTGCCTAAAGTAAGGCAGAAATTAGAAGAAAGTCTGGATAAAATGGCTTCAGTTAACCCCAGAGACATCACCAAACCAGGACTTAATGACTTTCCATTTAGTGACAATGTCAGCTTTAGATTTACTCTGTTTTGTCTCATAAGAATGCCCAATGGTTTCTGGGAAGACTTTTGGTAAACAAGAGCACTCTAAATTTCTCACATTACAATTACTACCTCCTAGGCCTTCTACCAGCTTGTCACTATACCCCTGACCCATTTGCCCCTAGCTGCCGTAATATCACACAAGCCTATCACAAACAGAGAAGAATGGTGATAGAGTAATCAAGTGTGCTGGAGGGAGAGGAGGGCTTATGGTTTCTTCTTTTTAAAAAAAATTGTGCTTTGTTTTTTCATTAGCTTCCTTTTCTTTCTTTCTTTTTTTGTTAAGATTTATTTATTTATGCATACAGAACTGGGGTGCAGGTCAGAGGTGCAGGGGTGAAGAGAGGATTCACCACAGACACAGTGAGGGGGCAGGACAGGCAGTTGACACAGCTGAGGGGAGCAGTGGGTGGATCAAGAGAAGTCTGCTGTGCCGTGTGGGTCACCTCCAGGGCCAGGGATCACACTCGCACTGAAGCGGCTGTGGCTCGCCTGTAGTGCTGTGCTTTAACCTTGTTGCACCACTGGGGAGGGCTTGTTTTTTTCCTCTTTACAACACAAAGTACATACACATTCAAATCAAAGACAGACTTGTGGACAGTGACAAACACTAACCATTTATCCTATTTGTATCAGAACTGAAGCAAAAGTTGTATTTTGTAAGGTCAGAACATGTTACTATATTAAAACTTTATTCAAATAGCAAGGGTTTTTTGCTATTTTTTAAAGCCTTAATATTAAAAAGTGATTCATAGCTATATTACTAAAACTCAACTTCATTTATATCTAATCCACAAGGATTATATGTAATCCACACAAGGATATACATCAAAATGTTAACACTGGTGAAATAACAGGTGATTTTTATTTATTTGCTTTTTAAAAATCTTTTATAATGAGCATGTAGTTTTTTATATTTCAATTTTCTTTTTTGGGAAGGGAATGGTCAAGTTGATGAAAATAAATGCTTCCATATGTTCAGATGGGAGTGTACACATATAAATAGATGCACACATGTATATGTACACATGTGTACACACATATGTATATACATACACAAATACACAATACTGTTTTGGAATTCTTTATCTTGAATTTTGCTGTTACCTTCTCTCATATCATTTCCTAGGTAAATTATATCAAATATTTACAACTATCAAGTTCAACTGATACTACTGAGGATCCAAACCACAACTAAGTACAAGAACAATTAAATCCAGACTCCAACAATTGAGATGAAAAAAAAGTACAAAATGATGTAAAAATAAACTATTATATTATAAAAAATATATATATATATAAAAATAAAATAAATCCAGACTCCAGACTTGACTGCTACCATCTATCAAAAAATTACACAACTACTTTTTCTTTTTTTTTTTAGAGAACTGACAGCAAATGATTCTCTAACAGCACTAGGTCGATTATGTTACCTACATGAAGTACTAAACAGTAACAAGAGACATTTGGCACTGGTACTTGGAAACCTGGAACAACATTATGAGCCTACCCCTCCCAAAGTGAGTCTCATCTGTTCTGCCACGGAGTCCCAGCTTTAAATACAACTCATCACAATATCTCAGCTATGGAAGTTTCCAGGTGGGAAAAGAACAGGCAACAAATTCTGGGAGAATGGGGTTTTTCAATGCTAATTCTACCCTGTGGTAAATTATGAAACCTGTTTCTCCATTTCCTCGTTTGTAAACAAGGATAATAAAAATCACATTGTGATATTGTTGCAAGACCTGGAGATGAAGCATGTTTAGTATCTCTTTTAGGTACCTACCGAACTATTATGATAGAACTTGTTTGCCTATGTGATTGATATCAGTTCTTCCTTCTAATGCTAATGCTCCAGAGAGTCCAATATACTCAATACAAAATGCATATCTGAAAATAATTGAAAATATCTGAAAATATTAGGTGGCTGAATCATGGGAAGCAAGAAATCTGGCTTCCCTACAGCCTCCTTACCTGCCTAATTCCCTCTGAGTCTGCTGCTCATTGTTACTGTAAGCTATTGCCATGACATCCATCCCAAAAGGAGGAGAGTCATGCTGGCTGTAAGAGCTTATAAGTCCCCACTTCTATGCACATATGTCTTCTTCCAACTTCTTTCAGTGCCAGTCTATAGGTAAAGCAGGTAGATGGAAAGTGATTGGTTCATTTTACTGATCTTTAAATTGGCAAGAGCTACAGGCAAAAACAGACAAGGGAGAACACATATCATTTAATTGTAGTGAATGATAATGAATCAGGCTGAATCATTTCCAGATACAAAGCAGAATGAAACCTGCATTTTGTGATAATAACATTTAATTTTTCTTTTTCTTTTTTTTTTTAAAGATCTATTTATTGGCCCTCCCTGGTGGCGCAGCGGGTTAAAGCACAGCACTGAGAATCTAAAGCCACTTCCGCATGAGTTCGATTCCCGCCTGCCCCGGAGGTGACCACATGGCGCAGCAGACCTCTCCTGACCGGCCCGCTGCTCCCCTCAGCAGTGTACTTCGTCGATCTGCCTGTTCTGCTCCCCACTCTGTCTCTGGTGAAGCCTCTCGCCGCCCCTGAGCCTCTGGCCTGTACCCCAGTTCTGTATGCACAAATAAATAAATCTTTACAAAAAAAAAAAAGTTCTATTTATTTATACAGAATTAGGGTACAGGCCAGAGGTACGGGGTGTGTGTGTGTGAGAGAGGATTCACCAGAGATAGAGTGGGGAACAGAACAGGTGGATTGACAGAAATAACACTGCTGAAGGGAGCAGCATACAGGTGAGGAGAGGTCTGCCACGCCATACGGGTCAGCTCCCTGGCTGGGAATGGAACTCGTGCTGCAGTGGCTTGGGACAGGTTCATAGTGCTGTGTTTTAGCCCACTGTAACACCAGGCAGGGCCCTAATTTGTCTTTTTCTTTTAGGAGATTTTGCTGTTAATAAGTTCCCTCAACAAACTGCCCCTTCTCTATGTTCTCTGTATTGAAATGACAACCTTCCATTTTCTATCTCTGACTATGGTTTCCAATATTATTTTAGGAAAGGAGATCTTAATCACAAAAAAGATAGCTCGATCCAATAATCTACAACCACAAAACAGGCACCAGGCAGGCAATTTATGAACATGACAGCAAATCACTTTAAATAAACTTGATCCAATGACCAAAGAACATGAAAGAATCATGATGAGCTATGAAGAGAAATCCACGTCTACAAAGACCAACACAGGGAGGGAAGCACTGCAGAGTTCCTGTACACAGCCCTCCTTGGTGCTTGTACAGTCCTTACCTGACAGTCAAAGTCCTGGAAGTTTCGTGTACCATTCTGTCAACAGAAGGCAGAAAACACAGTCAGTTTCCCCATGTGGCTTCCCCAAATGTGCAGCAAATTCAGTTCACAGTGAAAGCAGGGCATGTGTAGCCTCCTGATTGCTGTAAAACTACAAAGATTCATATCAAAAAGCTCAGAGGTTTCTAATGTGTTAGTAAAAGTCTTTAGAGGTGAGATTTCACTTGGTGGGCTTACTGTAAGATAATGGAAAGGAACCTGGTTTCCCAGCAAAAGCTATAACTTCTTGCACCCTTAGCTGAGGAGAACAGTGGGTCAGTCTGAGAGCAAACTCACTACTCACACAGAAGTACCTAGGAGGAAAACCTTGAGAGGAACAAAGGCAGGAAGAAGCTAGTGTACCCAGAACCAAGAGTTAAGGAAAGCATTAAGAAGAGAACAAAGAAATTGAAGACTTAAAATTTAACAAGGAAGAAAGGCACTGTCACCAGAGGCAAAAAAGAAAGACAAAATAAGGTTCCTAATGCATTGCCTTATCTGTTGCATCCCATGAAACTGCTGATAGAAAAAAACAAAAAAAGGCAAATTACTGAATCATTTAAAAAGCAGAACCTAGTCAAAAGACCCAATGAGAAGTCATCATGCTTCTTAAAAGAGATTATATCACAGTAATGCTTGATTGAAAGAGGAAAAAAAAATCAATGGCAATGACTCAGAGGCATTTTTGCAACATTTCAGATGCCAGAGTTGCAAGAGTATGACATAAGAATATAAAAAGGGTAATGACTGATGTATCTGAGAGGGGGGAAAAAGTCTCCCAACTCAGTTTTTCATTAAGTAGAACTCTCTGTCCCAATAAGCCCCTCTTATTAATTAGAAACTGTATTAGCATATCAATTTTGTCTACAACTTCTAGAAAGCAAGGAGGTATAATAAGCATCTTCCCAAGAACTACCCACCCCTCCACAAAAGACAAATATATAAGATCTCAAAAGAATACTAAGTATCCCATTCCATTTCAGAAAGACCCTCAGATCCTTTTAGAAACAGTTGTGTATCTAACAATCCACATTTTTGGCAGAACAAAGTATAGAGATTAAAATCACAGGCCAATATGGTAAAAACAACCCCCCCCCAAAGCAAACTGTCTAGCCACATTTTAAGGGCTCAGCAGACACATGTGGCAACTCTATTATTATTGGTCAGCACAGATAGAGAATATTTCCATATACTGTAGAAACTTTTATCAGACATTGCTGATGTAGACACAGAAAGCTTTTAAAAGAATAAGGCATAGCCCTTGTTTTTCTAAAAATGGTAGTAAGATCACAATAGATCACTAATCATAGAGAGACTGCAGATAACACAAAGAACAGGATAGAGAGTTAGTCTTAAGTATCATTCCTGGCATGAACTGAATTCACAAAATAAAGTCTGATGGTCACAGCATGGAAAGACAACAATGATACTGCGCAGATGGGACTGGGTAGCACATTTCCAAGGAATGTTGCCATTGCCAAAAAAGGATCATAATGTTCCATGTCTCCCACTAGCCCAATAAAATGCCAGGGAGCTTCATTGGAGAAGTAAGTCATTGTGTTTAATTCGTAATTAGAAATAACAAGTGGAAAGCATCCTCAAGGACTAGGGTAGGTGGTTTTATTGGGATATAAATGACCAGCCAGTGAGTATCTGCTTCCTGGTTTAATTTGTATTTTCCCCAAATATGACACAGGGCCTGGAATAAATCAGGGGCTTGATATATATCTATAAAACAAATAAGCCAATACTGCAGAACCCCCTTGTCCTCAGTCTCACTTTCTGTGGTTTCAGGTACCCTCAGTTAACTACGGTCTGCAAATAATATCTACATGATATTTTAGGAGGACAAAGGCAGAAGTTTTGGGAAAGTAACTGATGACATTCACATAATTTTATAATAGTATATTATCATAATTGTTTTATTTAATAATTATTGTTGGTAGTCTCTTGCTATACTTAATTTATAAACAAAACTTTGTCGTAGGTATGTATATATAGGGAAAAATACAGAATACTTAGCATACCACCCACAGTTTCAAACATCATGGGTTGACGTTGGAACATATATCCATATGGATGGGGGGTATACTGTATAGCAAAACTAAATGTTCAAGGTTTTTATTAAGATTTTGGGCAACAAAAAACGACTGCATTCCGATGATCAACAAGCATATGAAAAAATGTTCAACATCACTTGTAATCAGGAAGATGCAAATTAAAACCACAATGAGATACCACCTAACCCCAGTGAGAATGGCACAACAAATGTTGGCGAGCATGTGGAGAAAAAGGAACTCTCCTGTATTGCTGGTGGGAACGCAAACTAGTACAACCACTATGAAAAACTGTTTGGAGGTTCCTCAATCAGCTAAAAATGGAGCTGCTATATGACCCAGCAATCCCACTCCTAGGTATCTACTCAAAAGACACAAAAAACACTGACTCAAAAAGATACCTGCACCCCCATTTTTATTGCTGCTTTATTTACAATTGGAAAGACATGGAAACAACCCACAGTAGATTCTCAAGAAAAAAATAAAGACACTAATAAGTGAGGTGAGACTAAGTGGCATTAGGCTTCAAGAGTGATCATCTCGGAGAAAGGATATGCCTGGTTTGGCATTGTTTGGCATCCTGAGTTTGTGAATGGAAATCATTAGCATGTCCCCCACTCATCTGGGGTCAAGTGAAGTCATATTCTCTGAACTCATTAAGAAATTAAAACTACTCTTTGGGTACATTTTGGAAGGAAAAGACTTCCCTGAGAGGACTTACTTATCTAATAATCAAGGTATTTGGTTCCACTCTAACTAAACTTCTATTAGTTTCAAATTTGGGGTGACTTTTACTTTCTGTGCATGTTGAAAGATACCATTATTCTACATTTAATTTAGCCAAAGGTAGAGAGAAGAGGGCAGGGGAAAGGAGGCACAAACCAGTCAGCTTTCCTGCTTGTTACAAAGTCTGCTGAGTGAGGAGGTTGGAACAATCAGCTATAAGAAGCTCGAGAGTCCTAGACTCCCTGATCCAGGTCAAAGTCAAAATATTTGGGTCCTACTCTTGACTTTACTCCCTTACTAGACACTAATTTAGAGCAAGTCATATAACCTCTGAGTTTCATCCATAAAATGGGAGTTAAAAATACCTTCAACTATTTCACAAAAGGTTGGGAAAGTCAAATGAGCTGTTATTTTGAAAATCCTCTGAAAATGGTTAAATGCAATTTAAAAGAAAAGCATTTCATATGCCTGTTCAATTCCTGTCCCCTAAAACAAAGATAAGTGCTGGCAGTTGCTTCTTTTCATCACTGGAGCCAAAACAAGCATGGCAAAATTACCCATTTCTTCACAATTCTGAGCAGTAGACAAAATTGCAGGCTTACTAAAATTAAATGGGAAAAGTACCAACGAATGACAAGAGACAAGTTAACATAAGCTTGTCTTAAAGCTATTTTGAGACGCTTCCTTGTAGTCATCTCAGGACAAAAATCCTCCATATAGGTTGGGTCTAGACTACTTAGTTTCCTGAAGGCTAGAAGGGTATAATGATGTCTTTGGCTAAGAGAATATCTGTAAGTAGAATGGACAGAAAGATGAAGTGACATAGTACACATCTCTAGGTTTCTTTTTAAAGAGACAGGGTAAACCAAAGGTGATACTAAAGCACCTTAGGGTGAAGGTAGCAGAAAGGGCTCAGATTTTAGAATAGGAAAGACCTGGATTTGAGTCCTGACTTTGCCATTTATTGGCCAAGCAAGCCAGACTTTCAGTCTTGGGGCTTGTGACACTTTTATCTACTAAGTGAAAAGGAGAGGTACTATATACTTCTTTTAAAGGGGTTGTCTGATGATTTAAAGTGAGAGGTCATATAAAAAGCATTTGGCTTAATAAATTATAGCAGGAGAGGTTAAAAAACAAAATCAACCAAAAAATCTCCCCACCAACAAAAAACCTTCAGACTCAAATCTGGAGGTTTATACCCTAATAGCAAATCAAATGAAATAACAGGCAATATCATTATTATACCTTTCACAATAGATACCACTTCCTGGGCAAAAATAGAAGTGTTTCTATCTTGGGGGGAAGGTTAAGGGAGGAGGCAAAGGGGTTGGGATTCTGTTTGAGAAAGCCACCATCCAAAGAAGGCCTCTTGCCAATCTACTTCTGTAAAGTTTGGCTGAGGCAGGGAAGCTCTCATGAATAGTGATGGGACAGGATCACATCTCAGGGAGAGAGGAACAAGATGGAGCGGGGGAAGTGGGTAGAACAGCTCAGGCATATCAAAGAAGCTAACAGATGTTAGGAAGTGAGACACTGCTTGATATCTTAGACTCAGGATGTCTGGGTGGCTTAAACAACAGAAATTAATTTTCTCATAGTGCTGGAGGCTGGAAGTTCAAAATCAAGGTTCTAGCAGGATCTGGTTCCTGCCAAGAGCTCTCTTCCTGGCTTGCAGATGGCTGCTATCTTGATGTTATGTACCTATAGGAGGTTGGGGGCTGGGGTTAGGGAGAAAGCATTATTTTCTCCTTCTCTTCCTCCTCCTTTTTACAAAGTCATCAGTCCCACTGGATTAGGGCTCCACTCATTTAACCTCCTTTAACTACCTCCTTAAAGACCCTTTCTCCAACATGGGGTTGAGGGCTTCCATATATGAAGGGGAGGTTATAATTCTGTCCATAACACTGGGGTACAAACCAGACACAGCCAAGGCCTCCCTGTGACTTCCGAGTCGACCCAGACATTAATGCAATGCTTTTCGGTGCTCACAGCCACCCAATCTTTCCTTTTCCAGCTGCATTCTCTATGAGCTATTCAGTCAACTAACTCCTATAACTCTTTCATGGAGGTATCTCTTTAGGCATCCTGTGGACTTCCAGGGTCAGTGGAATATTCTTTTCTTATGTGTATCCCAGTCCACAAATATGAGTCCCATCAAGTCATGTGTTTCTAACACTTTAGGCAAGGTTCTCAATCTTGGGACCTTTTAAAAATGCTGAACCACACCCCAGCCCAATTCAGTAACTCTCTGAAGGCAAGACCTAAGTATCCATCATTTTAATCTTCCCAAGTAATCCTAATAAGCAGTGAAAGCTGAGGACCGCAGACCACAGAAGGGAGGTGTGTGTCCTGTTCCCCTCCCCTCAGATTCTAATTTAGCTGGTCTGGAATTGGGACCTTGGAACTTACATTTCAAACAACTCCCCAGCAGACCTTGATGGTCAGCTAGGTTTAGGAAGATAGGCTTACTATCTTCCTGGAGCTACAATGCCCAGTCCCAACTGCCTTACAACTATTAATTTCTGTGACGATACATAAAAGCTTCAAAGATGAAGATTTAATTTTCTTCCTCTTCTTCATGGTACATCACTTTTTGGGACAGCCCTTCATACTCACAAAAAGACAGAACTTAAAGAAGAGACTTTTCTGAAAACATGAGAAGCAGCATAAAAAACCAAATGGGAGTAAAAAAAGTTGAAGCTTGTCAAGGGGAAGAATAAGAAATCTGGTGTAAGATAAGGGAAGGGTTGGAGTGGGATGGAGTCTAGGTCACACAGATGAAAAAGGGGCTGGCAGGATCCAGTAGCAAGTAAACACAAAAGTCTGAAGCCCCAGATCTTATAGCTGAAGGAACCTGCTTTGAATAACAAAACACAACAGGCAACAAAGAGTACCTTCTGCCTCCCAGCCCTCACTTCATCCACCTTATGCTACACCAATACTTCCCTCAAGTTAGGATGCCATAGACTCAACCACAATTACATGAGTAATAGGACACAATGACAATAAACCAGAAGAGTAAGGCTGAAAAGAAGAAATTTCAGGCACATTTATTGAGAAATATAAAGAGGGACAAGGGAGGGTAAGCCCAAGCTTTTTGGTAACTTTTATCAGCACACTACTGTAACTTGCTGAATCCTGGTGGCTGTTAACTACGCTGCTCACTGTGAACCTCTAACACTGACATAAAAAATGAGATATATAACCGACATCCTGGCACTCCTGGTGAAAAACCTCAGTGTTGACAGAAAGGTCACATCAGACTTGACAACTCTAGGGGAACAATGCACTCTATGTATTACACCTGCCATGGAAGTTAAGCTTTCCTTATAGAAAATGAAAGTCAAAGACACATGGTTTTTAAGCCAAACTCCACTCTCATACTGTACTTAATTTTGTCCTACTATTTTTTTCCCTTAACATCTCTATCTGTAAACAGAAAAATCTCAAGGCTAACCTGATTGAATTTGGCCAGTAAAAGTGAAAGTAAGGAAAAAAGTAGGAAGTCATCAAAAAGTGGGTTAGGGAATAAATCTTTGAAAGTATTCTCTCTACAGAAATGCTTTGAATTAGTAACTATTCAGATAATATAGAAAACAAACTAGTAATAGAAAAGCTACACGTTTTAGTAAAAACAGAGTAGTCTTTACCTTATCATTTAAAAGTGGTTTGATCTCTGTGAGTTGAACATCCTGAAGCTCATCCATGAGGACTGGTGACAGTAGAGGATTCTCAAGAATAAATCAGTAACTCTGCAACAGAAAAGAAAGACGAGAGGGAAAGGGTTTAATCTAAGAGCTCAAATAGTCACTCAAGCATTAGAGTTTAGTACATGCCATGCACTGTTCATGCTATAAAGGTACAAAAAACTAGTCAAAAGTGGCATCCCAGATTCTTGCCTCCTGGTATCTATACCCTGGCACCATGCCCCACTGAGATGTGGCAGGGACCTGTGGCTTGCTTTCAACCCACAGAACATGGACACAGTGATGGAATGTAAACAAGTACCTATGCATGATGACATCATATTCTATTTTAACATTTGTCTTGCTGAGAAATACACTTTGCTTTGAAGACACAAGCTGGCATGTTGGGAAAGAGTCATGTAAAAGAAACTGAGGGGGCCTCAGTCAAAGGTTAGTCCATCTCTCAGGAACTAAATGTTGCCAGCAACCACATAGGCCTGGAAGCAGATTCTTTGCCACTCAAACCTCAGATGAGAAACTAGCCCTGACCAGCACCCTTGTAGCTTTGTAGTGTATTCAGCCAACGCATGCCAGATCCCAACTACCAGAAACCATGAGATAGTAAATGTGTGTTGTTTTATACCACTAAGCTCATGTTAATTAACTAATAAACCGATGATTACTAAAATAGGCTTGCCTTTTGGAGTGTACATTTTAGGTGCTAAAGATGTGTGAATAAGAGAACATGATCAGAGCTACACTTCAGGAAGTAACAATTTGGAGGGTGGATTGAGAGGGGGACAACTGAAGGCTGTAGTTGTAGAAGAGACCTCACTGGTTATGGGAATGAAAAGGGAGGTGAACCAAGGATGAGCAAACTAGACACCCCTTAGATGATCACAAAGGTAGATGGGTAATAAGGTAAGCCAGGTTCCAAGATGGCCTCCAGGGAGTCTGTGACCCTTGATTCCTGATACTTGCCCTCAAGTATAAATCTCCCACCCAAATAAGTCAAGGATGACCAGTGTAACCAGTAGCATATGGCAGGACCAACAATATGTGACTTCTGAGGCTATGTCATAAAATAACTTCCAACAATTTCTGTAGACTTAAGCACTAACTCTTAATATAACCAGCACTGTTCTGTGTGGACAATCAAACAGTCTTGTGGAGAGATCCAAGTACCAACATGGCAATACCAACCTACCAGTCACGTGAGGGAGCCACCTTGCAAATGGATTCTCCAGGTCCAGTCAAGGTGTAGAGAGCCATAGTCTATAAGGCAACTGACTGCAGCTACAAGAGTGACCTTGAGCTGAACTATCTTACGAGGCATCCCCCACCAAATTCCTGATCCACAACAACCATGAAAGACAAGATATTAATTTGTTTTGGAGTACTTGTTACACAGCAATAGGATACAGAGGAGAATATAGGAAAATAGAGTATTAGGGTAAGAGGGAAGCTGGAGGTCAGGTAATGACCATAAATCCTTCTTCCTTCTACTATACAGAAAGCCATGAGGAGAGGATGCAAATACTAGCTATTGCAGACAGCAAGTGATACCCACCCAGACTTCAAAGCTCTGGGTTTCATTTCCTCTGACTTGACTCTAAATTCTTCAAAGTCAGGAAAAAATTTATTCAGTGAGTTAGGTAATTTAGACATTCAACAAGTATTTATTGAGTAACCACTATGTAAGGCATTATGGAAGATATAAAGAAGGCCCTTGTTTTCTAGGAGTTTACTAATGGGTAGAGATGACAGCCATTTATACAGCACAAATATGGTTCCAGGCACCCTATAAACTTGACTGAGCTACTGAATAACACACTTTTTAATTTTATACCAGTCACGTTCCAAAGGGGCAGATGAGGTTGCTTGAAACTTTTATCACAGATTTTAACCAGCACCTATAATTCTCTTGCATAGTCCCAGTTTGACCCAGTTAACTTTCAAAATAGGGCCCTCCCTGGTGGCGCAATGGATTAAAACACAGCACTATCCAGAACAGTCACTGCAGCATAAGTTCAATCACGGCCAGAGAAGTGACCATGTGAAATGGTGGGGCAAGATCTCTTTTGTCCCACCTGCTGCGCCCCTCAGCAGTGAATCTCAGTACACCCACCTGTTCTGTTCCCTATTCTGTCTTATCACCCCCCCACCCCTCTGGCCTATAACCCAGTTCTTATATACATAAATATGCATAAATAAATAAACCTTAAAAAAAAAAAAAGCATAGGCCTAACTAGGATCTACTTGTTGTGTGTTTATTAATTACCCTATAAACTTGGACTTCACTATTAACCAGTAATTTCAAATGGCAGGTTTTTTTCAAGATTTATTTATTCATACCAGAACTGGGGTACAGGCCAGCAGGGTGGGGAGTGACAGAAATCACCAGAGACAATGGAGAGCAAAATAGGCAGATTCACTGAAGTAACACTGCTGAGGGAGCAGTGGGCAAGATCTGCCAGGCCATGTGGGTCACTTCCATGCTACAGTGGCTGTGGATAGCTTCACAGTGCTGTGCACTAACCCATTGCGCCACCAGGGAGGGCCCTCAAATAACAGTTTTAAAATTCTTTTCCTACTATAAAAAGCAGTATGTGCTCACTTTACAAAGTGTGGAAATCACAGAACAACAAGACATTTTAATCATCGTTCTTCCCGTTAAAGACAACCACTGTTAACATTTTAGTCTATTTCTATTTTGTTGCTGGGTTTGATTTTTTTTCCCCATGTAAAATGGTGATTTCCTGAAATGGTTTCTCCAGCCCCCCTGCTTTATTCCCTATTTTAATTCATTCACTTGAAAGTAGGGCTCTTCAAGATGTTAATTATTCAAATATGACAGGGAGTTCTGTCAAGGAGCCAAAGGAAAGCCTGATGTGCCCTCAGGTCCAAAGTGACTGGCATTCACCTAGTGTTCCTAGCATTTTTAAAGATGAAGAAAAATGTGATGCTGTGCCAGGACAAACGCTTAAACGAGGGAACAAATTAAATGAGAAGGCTGTCCCTATCAGCTGGGACCAACGCAGACTCAATGTAGGACAATAAGCTGCCCCAGTGTGACTTAGCAGTTGGCAACAAGACATCAGATGTTCACCTTCCACATTATAGGGAGCCTAATGCATTCTTCAGGAGACTTAATTTTTGTCCAGTTCTCACTGTGCTGAGTCCTTGCCAATGGGCACTTCTATAACACCTATAAGAAAATGAGGGTCACATGGTGGAAAACTCCATCCCAAGATCGCTCAGACAGATTGACATTCTCCTGGGGAATCTAAAGCCTGCAATTCCCTCATCTGCACAAATGATGGAGCCAGATCTCATCTTGGTACTAAAGGCTATTAACATCTTTTAAAGACTGATAGGGATTTTATAAACTGCAGTGGATAATAAAATATTCATTCTCTCAGTTTTATGAGGTAGAGGGAGGACTAACAAGCAAGTAAAAATCAGCTATCCACAAACTGAGGAAATGAGCCTCGTACAAAGGGCTAAAAAGGGCAAAGTATAATCCCCACCCTGCCAGGAATTGTAATCTAAGCACTTTATTGTTTATCCCTCATAATAATTCCATCAAATCTTCATTCTTTATTTTATAAGATGAAAAATTTGGGCTTAGAGAAGTTAAGTGAGTTTTCTAATCTCCTACACCCAACTAATTAAGACAAAGATTTAAAAACTTTTGTTTTTCCCACTATACTACAATGACTACACCAGCTCACATCTACTGACTGTAGGATACTGGGGAAGTTCTTCCCTCTCTACTCATGCTATGGAACCGTCCTGAAGTAAAGATAATAGAAGTCTAAAGACAACCCTATCCTACCACTGACTTGAACACCTTAGAATGAAAATGTGAGTCATCACGCCTCACCATGTCAGAAGTTAGCTGAGGGCATGGAAGATGTGGAATAAACAGGAAGAGGAAAAATGAAATTCCAGCTATTACTTAATAACCTGTTTCAGTAATAAGGGCTATTTCTTGCTTGTTAGAACAGGGTGTCTAAAACTTTAGTGTATAGACTATTACTTGGAGAGCCTTATTTAGGGCCTTAGACACAATTAGTTTTAAGTGATGATGGTCCAACAACATGTGACCTTATTAGCTGAGGAGGCCTAGAGATCACAAATTAAGGTGAAAAATTAAAAGGCTTTAATTCCTAGGTGGCACAAGTGGTTAAGTCTCAGCATTGTGAAGCTATAGGCAGCCACTGCAGCACAAGTTAGATCCCAGCCAAGGAGATGACCCACATGGTGCAGCAGACCTCTCCTGTCCCACCTGCTCCTCCCCTCAGCAGTGTATGTCATTCAATCTATTCTGCTCCCCACCCTGTCTCTGGTAAATCCTCTCACATCTTTGGCCCACACCCCAGCTCCTATATGCATAAATAAATACAACCTTTAAAAAAAAAAAAGAAAAAAAGCTAAAGGGCTTGATTAATACCAAGAATACTGAGTAGGGATAAGGAAGATGGGGTAGAGACTCAGTTTAATATCATCCTTCCTTATTCCAACATGGATTTCAGCAAGAGAGCCAGTATTTATAAAGAGTTAACAGGCCAGATTAGTTAAAAGAGGGAGTAACTGGAATGAGAACTATTTAGTAGTTTATGGCAGAAATATAGTTAAAAGATGCTGGAAATATAGGAATAAAGAAAAAAGGAGATCTGGGGCTATTAAAGTTGGTAAAAATAGTATGCAGTCAGAGAAGACTAGATTTTGCTAAGGTTTCTAGTGAGAGCAATAAAAGAATGACAAACAGATATGGGGAGCTGAGAAGCAGTAACAGAAAAAATGGTTAAAAAAAAGTCAATTTTGAATCAAAGCTGCAATTTGGGCATCTAAGACACTCAAGTACAGGCAGGACAGAGAAAAATCTCTAGGCACTAACTAAACCAGCGGTAAGGAGCTGCTGCATGACCTGGAGCATCTGAAGGACAACTCAGTGATGGGAAAGAAAGCAGAACCCACAAGAGGCAGAGGAAAAAATGCTCATAGAAGCAAGAGGAAAAGCTAAAATACAATGTCAGAGAAGTCAAGAGAGAAATTTCCAG